TTTGGTTTATTGTAGATACGAGGTGTTGCCAAGTTGCCCAGGCTGGTCTCAAATCCCTGGGTGCAGGCAATCCTCTTGCCTTAGCCTCCCAAAATGCTGGGATTATAGACGTGAGCCACCATACTCGGCCTCCAAACCACTTATTTGACTTGGGTCAGGTCTCTTGCTGTATCCATCTTCCCTTCCCAAGACCTTCCTTCATTAAAACCCTACCTTGGCTGGATACAATGGCTCCCGTTTGCAATCTCAGCACTTTGGGAGGCTTAAGCGGGAGGACTGCTTGAGCCCAGGATTTTGAGACCAGACTGGGCAACACAGAGAGAGCTTGTCTCCACAAAAAACCAAAAAAATTTAGCAGGGTATCATAGTGGGCGCCTGAGGTCCCAGCTACTCAGAAGGCTGAGGTAGAAGGATTGCCTGAGCCCAGGAGGTCAAGTCTGTGGTGAGTCATGATTTTTATTTATTTTTTGAGTCAGAGTCTCACATTTTCACCCAGGCTGGGGTGCAGTGGCATGCTCATACCACTGCAGCCTCAACCTGCTGGGCTCAGGGAATCCTTCTCTCAGCCTTCCTTTTTTTTTTGAGTTGGAGTCTCACACTGTCACCCAGACTGGAGTGCAGTGGCCGCTCCCGGCCACCGCAGCCTTGACCTGCAGGGCTCCGGCGATCCTTCCGCCTTGGCCTTCCAAGTAGCCGGAATTACAGGCACGCACTACCACGCCCGGCTGATTTTTTGATGTATTGTAGAGAGGAGGTCTCGCTGCCCAGGCGGGTCTCGAACCCTCGGGCTCAGGCAATCCACTCACCTCAGCCTCCCAAAGGCGCGGGATTACAGGCTGAGCCACCGAGCCTGGCTTGTTTTGTTCTTTTTAGAGATAAGAGTCTTACTATGGCTGGGCATGGTGGCTCAAGCCTGTAATCCCAGCACTTTGGGAGGCTGAGGCAAATGGATTGCCTGAGCCCGCGGGTTTGACACCAGCCTGGGCAACTTGGTGAGACCTTGTCTCTACAATAAATGAATTAGCAGGACATGGTAGCACACGCCTGTAGTTCCGGCTACTTGGAAGGCTGAGTTGGAAGGATCACTGGAGCCCAGTAGGTTGAGGCTGAGGTAGCCGTGAGTGTGCCACGGTACTCCAGCCTTCTGCCTCAGCCTTCCAAGTAGATGGAACCACAGGCATAAGCCACCACGCCCGGCTAATTTTTTTTTTTTTTTATTTATTATAGAGGTCTCCCCATGTTTCTCAGGCTGGTCTCGAACTCCTGAGCTCAGGCAATTCTCTTGCCTCCGCCTCCCAAAGTGCTGGGATTACAGGCTTGAGCCACCATGCCTGGCCTATTTTATTTTATTTTATTTTTAATTTTTTTGAGTTGGAGTCTCACTCTGTCACCCAGACTGGAGTGCAGTG